GAAGCAATTAGGTGTATACTTCGATATTTGGCTGGTACCTTGGATTATGGCCTCACGTTCTTGGCTGATGAAGCAGGACTGAAGGTTGTTGCATTTGCCGATGCTGACTGGAGAGGTGATGCAGATGATCGCAGGTCAGTGTCTGGTCATATTGTGTTTCTTGGAAAATGTCTTGTGGTCTGGAGCTCGAAGAAGCAGAAGACTATTTCTAGGTCAACCATGGAAGCATAGTACCAGAGTGTAGCAGACACGGTAGCAAAAGTAACCTGGATTAATGCGTTGTTAGTCAGTCTGAGTGTGAAGCATCGTGAGGAACCAGTTATCTGGTGTGATAATACAAGTGGCATCGCCATGAGCATGAATCCAATTTATCATGCACAATCAAAGCACGTGGACATAGACATTCATTTTATTAGGGAAAAGGTTGTAACAAAAGCATTATGTGTTAGTTATGTTCCAGCCAACTATCAGGTGGCAGATGGCCTCACTAAACCACTAATTAAAGTTGCGTTTGCAGTTTTTAGAACCAAGATGTGTGTCTTGCCTTGTTGAAGAAGGAGGAGAAAGTAGATGGAATATTAGAGTAACTAGGCAGTTAAGGTTGGTTAAGGGAGTTGAAGTTGTTAGCAGGCAGTTGTGTTAGTTGTACTTGAGCTAGGTATATTGAAAAAGCTGTTGTTAGCTGCAATAAAACCAATGTAATTGATGTACTTGAATGAACAAGAAAGGTTCATTGTTCTTCAACATTCTCAGCTAAACCTAGCTTCCTAACACTGTTGTCTTTTGAAGTATGGCAATTTAGCCATATGGCTTTGTATTTACAGAGAGGACATTGTTGACTACCAAAAGCAATAACTTTGGGTGGCGGAAAATTCTTTGTAATTTTTGAAGTAGATGGACTTCTCATTTCTTCTTCAATGTTATAAAACAAGGGATTATATCATGAGTATTTATAAAGATTATGCATTTCAATATTGTCATAGCAGTGGGCTGCCTCTCATTGACATTGATTTTAAGGGTTGGAGTCCCTCTCTTCCTTGCTTTCAAATTTGGCAATTAAGAATTTATGCATTAGGTGTGATGTTGAGTTCCAAAGTTCACACCATGTCAATATACGCATTGTTATTCTTTGAAGTTCCGAGTTTAAACATCAGAAATATCAAGATACAAACGTTTAATATCAAATAATAAAATTATCTTTAAACAAATATTATATTATATTTATCTCATATTAATAAAAAAATCCCTCTCAAAATTCAATTTAAAAGAGATTTTATTAAATTATATCATATTAAAATATGATATCCATAAATGTAAAATAACTTTATACAAATTTTAACTAAATTTACACCGGTTGATTATAAAAATAAAAGAAAATCATATTATTGACATCCGATGGTATTTTATAGAATATTAGGAATGAGGTTTTGTTTTGCTTGTATAAAACCATTTTGAAAAATAAGTACTAAAATGACTCCATTTTTATATTATTTGTCAAAATAACATCATTTTATTAAAATTTAGAAGAAAAAAAAATATGGATGGTTAGGCGAGTTTTTACGTTTGTATGTGACATTTAAATCCAGAGGAAGACGTTGATGATTGGACATTTTGTTACCTACGTGTCATGATCCTGGGAAGGAATGACTAAGGAACATGATCTTTTATAGTTTCGAATAAAACATGCATGGCGATGTCCAAATGAAAAAAAAATACAAAGAAGAAAAAGAAAAAATGTTAATATAAATTTTATCTAAAAAATCAAATTTAGTATATATCAAAACATGTGTTAAGAGGATTCAAACCGTATTGAGTCAAGTTGTAATGACGGCATATATATATATACACAATGTTTTTACTTATATAACAGCAAGCCGGTCAAAGCTTTTAAATATTTTATCAAATAAAAGAAAGGCAAAAAAATGTAAAAAAATGATTTTTTTTCAAAATAAAAAAATATGCGTGATATTTGTTAAATACAAGTATTTACACAAGCACGAATCAAGCGAGGACAATACATACATATATGTTTTGTCTTTAATCACTCAATGAATATATATTTAAAAGAGTATATTTAAAAAATTATATCTAAACGATGCAAGATTTAAAAATCTCATGATCAAACATATTGATTTTGAATTATTAAAGATAAATCTTAAACTTGATGAAACTTATGTTAGTGCGAAAATTGAAGACAATTTTAAATATTAGGATATTGAGTATTTCATAAGACAACAACTAACACAATTCAAGATTTGTGTATGATAAAGTTCATGACATGTCTTTGATAGCTCAATACCAGACACTTGGTCATGAGATTCTTAAATTTCATATTGTTTAGATATTGATATTTCTCATATGTTTAAATATAATTATTTAAATACGTACTTACAAAATTATTAAAAACAGAGCGCACATATATACATTGTTGATATTATTTAACTTGTGTTCATAATAAATACACATATCATATATATTTCTTTTTAGAAAATAAAATTTTATTAGGTAATATTTAGGTAAGAAGGCCTCATTTTGTTGTTTAATTTTGAAGATGGTGATATATGGATAATAAAGGATAGGGATGATGGTGGTTACAGCTGTTGGCTTCAATCCAGGCTGAGGCTAAATATTTCAAACGAAAAAAATGGGGCTCTTCCAACGAGGTCAAACCCAAAAAATCGTATTCACCAAATTTAACTTCAAATCCCGCCCATGCCTGATATCATGTTCATGCAAACAACACTTCTTCTTGGGTGAAATACAAAAATGGTCACTAATGTTTGAGTAATTTTTTATTTTCATCACTGATGTTTCAAAAGTCACAAACTGATTACTTACTTTATAGTTTGTTATAAATTAGTTAATCCATGCTAACAGTTGTTACTGTGGATGACGAAAAGTTAAACTATACTGTTAAACGCTTACTTGGTCGGTTAACTGCTTACATGGCCTGTTGATCATTTATTCTCCTTCCTCACAACTCATTCTTTACTCTTCCTCCTTCTCCTTCACCGCTTTCATCATTTGTTTTAGTTTTAGATCCAAAAACAAATCATCATTTTTATATAATTGACACATTTATACACCAAAACCACGGAAGGGTAAGAAAATCTATCGGGGATCTTCTCCTTCACCGTCATTGTTTTATCACCATTTTTTGGCGCCTTCATTGCATGTCCGCCGTCGACCCAAAAGAATTGTTGAGTTTAATGGTACACATCGTTGTCGTCGCTGAGCTATGGAACCCTCGTTTTCTTATCGGTTTTACCAGCAGCATTTCCTGGATCACGCTTCATCCTCTTCATCTTCGACACTCGTCCCATGCCCCTCACTCTCTTGCTCCTCTCATTGAGTTTACCTCCGTAGCCCTCTTATTTTTTTGCCTTGAATTTTCTCTAAATTTTGATGTAGTTTGGGAATTTTCTTGAATGTATGAGGGAATATTAATCTTCTTTAGGCTTTTTAGCAGCAACCTCAGTTTACATTTCAATATGCAGCTTCGTAAGTTTCTTCGCAACATACATGCAACTTCCTCATTAACCGACCAAGTTTCATCAGTTTCCATTAAATACCCCAAAAAATCCACAGCTTTTCATCAACCCATTCAAATTCTTCTTTCATTTTTTCAAATTCAATCACTTTCTCTCAAAGCTGGCTAACAAATTCCTTTAATGGAATCACCATTTGCACAAAACCCAAACCCAAACCACAGTCCGCTTCCTCGATTTAACTCTCTTGTTCCACGCTTTCACTTGTTTCACCACTTTTCTCTAAAAATATCCCATCAGATCAAGGGAAAATATTGATTTCGATTGTTCGATTAAGGAGGAAGAAGATAAGTTGAGAGTTCATAGAAAAGACGTGGAGAAACTAATGGGAAATCTAGGGATTTTCTACAGCAAAGAAAGTGAGGAATGAGTGAATCGTTTGGGTCAAATGAAATAATACGGGAAAGAAGGGAGAGGGGAAGAAAAAGCAATTTTTATAAAATGTCAACAACTTCCATTGATTTAATGATTAGTCAACGGGCCATGTAAGCATTTAACGGTACAACAACTTTCCGTCACCCATAGTAATATTGTTAACGTGAGTTGAGTGATTTATTTGTGATAAACGATAATGTTAGTGACTGATTTATGACTTTTGAAATATCAGTTGTATAAACAAAAACGTATTCAAACATCAATGAACATTTACGTAGTTTACCCTTTATTCTTCTTATCATCCCGCTTTTCCTTTTTATTTCACCACTGTATTTAAATACACTTAAGTACATATACCTCTAAAGGAAAATACTAATGGACAAAATGTTCCAAGAACTAGTTATTTAGTCAAAATTTAAGGTTTTTTTATCATAAATTAAAACATTCAAGGTCAAAACACTTCAAAAGAACGATCATTTAATCAAACAGGCATTTTTTCCAACATTACACGTTACATTAATATTTTTTTTCATTTCATATAGGGACTATTTTTAAATTCGTTTTCAACAAATTTATTTATTTTGGTGACGGATTCAGAAATTTGAATTTGAAGATGTTTTTTAATATTATGTCACAGGATAATTAATTATTGATCTATTAATATTATTTTATATATTTTAAAAGTTAATATTTAATTTTTAAAAGTTACAAATTTTAAGGTTGAAATTAAGAAATATTTATAGAGGTTGAGGAATTAAATATACAAGTATTTAATCAACTAAGAAATGATTTTTTAATGTTATATACTGTAATGATCTACTTAAATTAACATTAATGTGCATAGAAACAAAAATGTCTAAAGCAATAATGCATGGACAGTCGCATTTTAATATTTTGTTTCTTTCCACTTGATTCCTTCCAGATAAAATGCAAACCATCTCTGATTCCTGATTTCCTCACCAATCACTCCCTCTCTCGATGTGGGAGTTTTGGTCGAAAAATGCAGAGATGGTAAGCAATTTAACTTGCAGAAAAAAAAAGCAATATTATTACATATTTATAGTCTCAAATTGACATAGTGAAATTCACTATTCAGCGAGGAATGCTTAGCATTTCCAGAAGCTGGTCTTGCTGATTTCTGCTCTTCTTGGACATAGGCTCAGGTGATGATGATCCCACTGCCCATGAATCGTTCGAGCTATCCGAACTAAACATTACATCGACTACGCCATTCGGGCTTCCCGTGAAGGAGCTAAACCCGCGCTTCTTCGATCGGTTGCCTTCGACTTTCATTGTTGCCGATTCCATTATCAACTCACAGCATTCATTTACCCTGTCCTGGTTCAATAGATGAATCCAGATTTAAGATGAATTTGCATTTTTAACATTGTAAAAAAAACAGGTAAAAAAAACAGGTAACAGAAACAAATACCTTATCAATTCCCAGGATGCCTAATAGCTGGTTTTCGTATTCTACTCTAAGACTAGGCTCCACACTATCAACAACGTGCAGCATTGCAGCAGTGGCCATTTCAGAAGGAAGGTAGCACATAAACCTAAAATCTGGCAATGAATTTAACAATAATTAATCTTTATTAATTACATATAGATTACAGAGTGAGCCCAATTCAATAAAGGGTGCTAATTAACCTGAAATGACAGAGAGTAGAATCCGGTTGCATCTCCTGAGAAACTCCCAGCAAAGATGGTCCTTTAACCCAAGCCTCCTTGCGATGAAATCTAGAAACGAAAGTGGGGTTACAGGGTTCATTTTCCATTGAAGAGATGAGAGCACCAAAATCTCCATTCTTTGGATAGTTTTGGCCTCGAACACGTACCTGCTCTCCTCCACCTAAACAGATCAACACATTCTTAAACCGAATCGAAATGGCAAATGCATTAAATTAACTAAAGAGACGTACTTGTAAATCCAGTAGGAGAGGAACTTGGGTTTCCTCCACTTTGGCCGCAAGAGAAAGACAAGCAACGGCTGCAAGTTGAGTGGTCCATGGCTTCTCGCTTCGGAACCGGAAGCTAAACAAGAATCTATCGAGATAATTGACGGCAAAAACAGCTGTGAGGGCAGAGAAAGAATACTGAGCATTGACTTTCAAAACCCATTCCACAGCTGCCCGGCGAGCCTTGGCTAGATTCCCATCGGCTTGAACGCTATCAAACAACTGATTCTGCCCTTCTTTCGAAAACAAAGAGGAAAGTTCATCGTCTTCCCAGAACATGTCTTGTTCTAACGAAATTATGTTCCACTAAAAAACCCCAAACTTGTTCAGATCTTTGTTTCCATTATAGAACAGAGAAGAAGAAGAAGAAGAAGAAGAAAGAGAGGCCTTGAGGCATCTCTCTTGCTAGGAGTGGGCAAAGGAAGGGTATTTGTTTAGAGAGTTGGTTCAGTTGTCTGGTCTGATGAATCAATCAATTGGAGGGGGGGGGGGGCTATAGTACTCGGAGAAGATAAGTTATGTTTTTTAATAAGGGAAAATCTCGTGTCTATCGACCCACAAAACTGAATCATGGCCCATGCATTGCATTTACTGGACACGTGACATTCTTTCCCTTCAACTCAACTCTCTGGACCCCATCAAAACAAACTCCTTCCCTTTCCGTTGGATTTCTAAATTCAGATTATGGCCGTAGATCCTTTTATATTTATTATTGATATAATTATTATCATTAATTATGTCAAATATGATATATACAATTTAAAGCGTATGAATATATTTAATATTGTGTAAATTTACAAGTAACTTTTATTATAACTGGTTGTTATGATAATTTAAAAGTTAAAATTTATCGATACAAAATACACATAAAATTTTAAATTAATTAAGTATTTTTATTATTTTAATTGAATACGTCATGGCAACAAATAAAAGTTTTTTACTTAAAAAATAATTATACATTATTAATTTATTTATAATCTTACGTAAGAAATGATTATCATGAATTAAAATAAATTTAATAATTACTATATTAATACATAAAATTATGCTATTCACATTAAATTTTATAAAATTATAAAATAATTGTTTATATATATATATATATATATATATTTTTATAAATTCTAAATCTAATCATAGTACTATTTAGAGATATTGGACCGAAAAATAATCTATAAAAATGGATCAAACTAGCCTTGATGGGTTTAAAATCCATAACATAAAATAATAAAAAAATAAATATAAACGATTTAACTAATCTGTTTGCGTTTACACTTAATTTTATATTTTAATAATTTATATCATAATATATAGAATGTTTAATACACTTTTAGTGCCTAAACTATATCTAAAAATTGGTACCTAATTTGTATTTGCTAAAAATATGTGTCTAATGTTTTGTCCGTTACATTTTTAGGTACATATCGTTATATTGTTTAATTTTTTTATAAATAAAAATATTATAAGAAAGATTTTTTAACCAACTAACAAATTAAAGCTGTGAACTAGCTGACTCAACATCACTAACAAATTCCATAACAGAATGCCCACGCCAATTTGAGTGATGCATATATTGAGCAACACATCCAACACTATAACACACATTTGATCGAGTGTGACTAAGTTACAGATCAAGAGGGTGACCGACATCTCGAGTAAGTTTAGGTGTGGTTACTATTGAAGTAGGAACAATCTAAGCACCAATCATATTGACACGCTCTAACAACTCTCAGATATACTTGTGTCGACTCAACAATAACGCACCCTGGCATCGCTCAACCTCAAGACCAAAAAAGTATCCAGCTCACCAAGATTTTTCAAAAAAAAAAACCCCGAGCCTAAAATGTAACAGTAGCTTCAACCATATCATCACTACTACATGTGATAACAATATCATCAACATAAACAAGGACAAACACACTATGACTCCCAGCGCGATGAATAAACAATAAGACATCAGCTTACTTTCCAACATAACCAAAACTAAGTAAAAAAGATTAAAAATTAGAATACCAGTTTTAGGGAGCTTGCTTCAAACCATAAAGTGCCTTTTCCAATTTACACTCCAACCTATCACCACTCGTCGATTCTTCCTCAAATCCTAGAGGTTGTTCCATAAACACCTCTTCAACTAACTCACCATTAAAAAATAAATTATTAATATCCACCTATCGAAGTTTCCAATTGTTTTGGATAACCAAAGACAACACAACATTAATCGTAGCCGCCTTCACAACATGACTGAAGATATCATGAAAATCTTTCCCTAGAACTTGATAATACCATTTTGAAACAAGGCATGCCCTATATCGAGCTACTGATCCATCAAGATTCTTTTTAACCTGAAAAAGCCACTTACAACCAATCTTCGTCCGATCTTTGGGTAGAGGAACCAATTTCCATGTACCATTGCTTCCATTTGGGGAAGCTAAAACATGTCGTATTGTAGCCGGTTTATGATCATCACAAGTCATCTCAATCGCATGATAGACCATTGGTTTAAATATCCCATGTTTACTCCAAGTCACTATATGATGACTATTAGAAACTCCCTTAACACCCTCTGTAGAACGAGCCCCCGATGGATCCAACAAATCGAACGTAACATCATCTTGTGGCATAGACGCACATTCCTCAATACGAGTAGCAGGTTGTGCTACCACATCATCCTGGGATATAACACCAACACATTTTCATAAACTATGTGAATTAGAAGGACCAAATGGACTAACCTCACCACTGTCCACAACATGAGTGCTAGAATCCAAACAAGGCAAAGTAGGCTCAACAGAATCCATTGTGAAATCACATGGATTAATAATAAGAGAGCTAGATAAATTGGGACAAGTATCAATATTGTTCCCAGGCTCCAATATAATCGAAGATGGCCCTTTATGCCCATGATCGACCCTCATAGCAGCCAAAGACCCAATAACAATAAGCAGATCACCACCAGGAAGAAATGATGCCACCGTAGGAACCCCTGTGTCACAAGAAGAGGAAAATGGAAAAGTGGATTCATCAAATACAACAGGTCGAGACACATAGACCCTGCTATCATCGACCAAACAATAATAACCTCTATGTTGTGAACTATAACCAAGAAACGTGCATGGTGATGACCGAAAGTTGATATTTTTTACGAGTGATACGGTCGTAAACACAGAAAACAATGATAATCGAACACACGTAAACGATCATAAATAGGAACACTCTCAAATAACCGTTCAAACAGAGACACACTACCCAATACCTTAGTAGGTAATCGATTAATAAGACCGATACTTTAATGGCAAGGATGCTTGAGCCAACATTGTCAAGGATATATATCAATGATATGATGGTGTTTAGGCTTAAGAATACCATTTTTTTTGAGATGTATACGAACACGTCACCTGATGAATTATACCCCCATCTTGAAGGACTTTGGACAACCTCCGATATTCACCACCCCAATCACTTTGCACCATTTTAATACACACACCAAATTGGGCATGCACCATCTTTTGAAAAAGAAGGGATTTCAACGTCTGTGACTAGTCTCGTAACAAATACATCCAAACATGAAATACTAAGCATCAACAAACGAAATGTAATATTTAAAACCATTGGACGACACATGTAGAGGTCCCCAAAGATCCGTAAACAGTAATTGAAATGGAACACTATACGTGGATTGGGAATCTGCAAATGACAATCGATAATTTTTTCTATTTGACAAGCAACACAAACAACTTTATTCAATTCTTTAGAAAGAGTATCATTACATAAACTACTCACTTTTTGCAAAACAGCATGAGACGAATGGCCTAAACGCCTATGAAACAGCCCATAATCCAAACTACTTACACAACTAACATTTGTCTCTAAACGGCAATCACGCAAGCTATCGCCTAGATAATCAAACTCATAAAAGCCACCACGTTCTCTTCCTTCAAGCATGATCACCCCAGACCTTCCTCACAAACAAAGCAACGATGAGGGTGAAACTCCAAGAACACTCCATTGTCTCTAGTAAGCTTAGACACTGAAATAATATTTTTAGTTATACTTGGCGCATGAAGCAAATTATGTAATTGAAACGTATGAGATGAAGTAAATAATCAAGAACGACCAACACTATCAATATTTAACCCATCACCGTTACCAACAACAAGCTTACCTGCTCCATTAAATGTATCACCATCCTAAACTAACGTTGCATCATCGATAATAGGATAGGTAGCTCTAGAATCAACACACCAAGAGGATTGTTGATCACTACTCGTGCAAGCCGATCAAGTACCACGATCGCAACCTCTAAATAAAGTAACCAAGACCGATCCCCATTGTCTGTGCATTGATAACTCGTAAAAAGGTTATATTTGGGGCCTTTTTACTTAAACTATTGATTGTTAAGGCTCATATAGTTTTATTTAGATGCATTTAGGAGCATGTCGTTGCATTTGGTAGATTTATTTTTCCTTGGCATTTTATTTTGTTAATAGTTCTATTTTATGAGAAATGTTTGGTTTGGATGTTGAAATGAAGGTTCTAGGAGTAAGGGTGTGTGAGGAGAATTGCCGCGAAAAACTGGGATATTGAAGAATAATGAAAATGTCGTGGCATTTTTGGCTGCAGAAAAAGATGAAGGAGTTGAATGTATTTTCACACAAAGACAACTGTCAATTCATCATGTGTTCTTTGCTGCCAGCCACCTAGGAGGAGCCAACTACCGCCTATTGTACTACCCCTCACATGTGGGGAATGTACCTTAGGGTACCATTGTAATTTTGGCATAAAACCCTAGGTATATTCCTTGCATATATATATATAGATTATGACACCACAAAAATCATATCATATATTTTTAGGGATAAAAGTGAGCGAAACAAGAGAAGAAAGGCGACATCAATCGTTCAACTTTCTTTCTTTCTTTCTTTTTCTCATATCTTTCATGTTGTTCCTCCATTTTCAAGCTTGAGGGAGTGGCTCTAGGCATCTGAGAGGAGCTAGCATCATTAAGATGGTTCGTGGTGGCTGAGGGAGCTCCGACAACGCGCATTGGGAGTCACTCTCTTATGCTTTCTTTTTATTCATTTCTTATGGGTTGTAAAAAATGAATATTTTCATGGATGATTCAAATCCCACCATGAACTAAACTTTATTTGGTGGGGTTCATCTAGGAATGGCAGAACGACCCGAACCCGACGGGGAAACCTGAAACCCGACTAAGTTCGGGTCAGGTCGGGTTTGAATAATATCAAGTCGGGTTGGGTATCAGGGTAAAATTCGGGGATTTTTTTGGGTTCGTTGCAAGGTATCCTCGCCCCGATTATATATATATAATATTTTATATATTTTATATTAATTATATATAATACAAACAAAACATTTAACCGAGGCATATTATTGCTCTGTTGAATATGATTATGAGGTGGATGAGGTAAATAATGTTTATAAAAATATTACTATTTTGGTAACATACTTTTATAATTATTAAAGTAAAATTTGGTTGATTTATTGATAAATTTCTCAATATAGGGAGCTACCAAAGAAAGTGACAAAAGTGGCACGACGATTTTGGATGACTTTATTTGACTTAATATTACGTATGGATCTTCGTTGTATGATTTGAATAGCGGAACAAGTTTGTATTTAATTATGTATGTGTTTTATTTTTGAGTTTAGACAATTATTTAGAATTGGGTTTGAATTTGTGACTGTAGTTTGAATTGTAAATCATGTAGACTAATTTCCAGTTTTTTGTGATCATTTTTTTGTATTTTTTATGAAAACTATGGCTGCTCGGTTTTTCTCGGGATCGGGTCGGGTTCGGGTACAACATTTCTGGTCGGGTTCGGGATAAAAAAATCCCCGATGGGGCGCCCCGATAAAAAACCCAACGGGAAACGGGGATTCATTTCGAGGAAGGGGACGGGGGGAGCAAAACCTGCCCCGTTTCCATTCCTAGGCTCATCATGGATGATTAAGTGTTTTTCTTTAATGGATGTTTAATACTTTATGTTTATTACTTGGTTTGCTTATTGTTTTTAATTACTTAAGATTGTAGGATCTATGAGAGTAGCCTTTTCTTAAGTATACTACTTGGTATTCGAGAGAACTAAGTTATTGATCTTTAGTGTTCGAGTGAAACTAAAGGAAGATTGATATAAGCAATGGATTTTAGCTGATAACTAGAGCCTAACCCACTGTCATAGATGAGGTTAGGATTTCAATGGCTAAAAGGAGTAGTGCTGAATCGATAGGTTAGTTGTTGCTGCTCAGGCCTAGAAAATTTGCCATGTCATTCTCATCTTTCAAATCCCATGACTAGAGATAGTGTAGGGATACTCATAGTAAACTTTGTCGAGCAAGTAAGACATAGAAGTTTAGACCATCTTAAAATATAAGACTTAAGATTCCTAAGTGACCCCATCATTCATTCCCATAATTTTCTTGTTGTGTGAGGATTATCAAGTCATCTTACTTATTTCCCAAGTTATCAATCTGTTTTGCCTTAGCATTTTCATTTGATTGCACTTTAAACAACTACTTATTCCATGACATTCTCATTTGCTACCCACTCACACTACCATTTCAACTCCACCTACATATATTTCATTTTGCCTCGGCATAACCATTTATAAATACCATTAGCTATACTTAGATAAATTAGTTTGTCGCTTTGACTTAACTCGTAATTTCCTCTAATCCCTATGGAGACGATACTCAGTCATCACTGTATTACTTGTTCAATTATGTATACTTGCACAAATTTTTTCACGTAATTTATAGTACACACAAAATAATTTATAGTACACACAAAACACGAACAAGTTTTTGGCACTGTTGCCAAAGATTGGCAACTGGAAGTTTAATAGTTTTGTCATAGTATTTTTATTTCACTTTTTTATTTCACTTTTTTTATAGTTTAATTGATATTTTTCTTTACCTTTTTCAAGCCTAATTGTTGCATGACCCGAGGACATCCCGAGGAATCATTAATACCAATTTAACCTGAGATTGAACCACTTTTTAAACAAAGGAAACATGCTCATTAAAATATGTATAAATTATAGAACCAAGGTGTTGGCCAAGTGGAGGATTAGACAGAACAAAATGATGAGGTAATTCCAAATGCTGGGAATGCTGCTAGGCCTCGTGCTATTCGTGATCACTTAAATCCTGTTTTGGACGATCTAAATCCTGGTATTGTGGCACTCAAGATTTAGACAGCCCATTTTGAGCTCAAACCAGTCATGTTCAATATTTTGAATTCTATAGGGCAGTTTGGGGGTATGCCTCATGAAGATGCCAAACAACACATTCTTAACGTCTTGGAGGTGTGTGATTCTTTTAGGCAACAAAGATTGCATAAAGATGTGTTGAAGCTTAAGTTGTTTCTATATTCTTTGCATGACTGAGTGAGGGTTTGGTTGAGTGGAGTTCCATCTGGCTCGATGTAGTCTTGGTCTGATCTATGTAAAAGTTTTTTGCTGCGGTATAAGTGTTGGGACCGATATAAGGGATTGCTTCGCAAGTGTACAAATCACGGTTTCCATGATTGGTCTCAAATCGTGATGTTTTATAATGGAGTCAATGCACCGAGGATGATGCTAGATGCCTCAGCAAATAGGAATTTGCTAGAGATATCACCTGAAGAGGCTTTTAACAATCTGGATAGGATTGTAAGCAATTATTACCAATTCCCCTGCTCAAGGCTTGGAAATGGGAGGAAGACACCTGGGACCTATGAGTTAGATGCTAAGGACTCAGTGTCCGCCCAACTTTTAGCTATCACAAATATGTTGAAGAACTTGCAACGCTCCAACGAGGTGAAAGAAGTTAAGGCATCTAGTTCAGCATGTTTATTATGCCATGACAATCACCATGAGAGTGAATGCTCAACCAATCAAGAGTTCATCAACTATGTGGTAAATTTCAACTGAAGCAACAACAAAAAACCCTATTCTAACGCTTACAATCCAGAATGGCATCAACATCCAAATTTTGCATGGGGAAATCGAGGAGCCTCTAATGCTAGTCATTTAGCTCGACAACAGAATATCAATAAACCCCCGACCTATCAAACAAATATGCCATGGAATAATTCTAATAAGGGGCACTATTTTCATCAAATAAAAGTTATTTGGAGGCCACTATGCAAGATTTTATAGTAGTTACCAAGACCATGCTGCAAGACCATGCCACTACTATTAAAAATCAAGGTGTTGTACTTCAAAGTCAATGAGCATTACTACAAATCCATAGCTTGTCTCTAAGAGCTTTGGAGGGTTAGGTTGGTCAAATTGTCGATGTATTACAAGAACGCCAACCAGGACGTCTGTCTAGTGATACTGAGGTCACTAAAGCTCATAGAAAGGAGCAATGTAGTGCACTCACTCTAATGAGTGACACTCAAATCAATTTACAAGATAAATTTGGGGAAATAAGTTGAATGATTCTACCTCTATAATTGTGCAAGCTG